CAAGCTATTTTTAAGTGTTTTTTTTTTTTTTTTCATGATCTGCTGGGCTGAATTGGAATAGAAATCTCTGACTATTTATTAGTGGCAAATTCTCTAATTTTTGTTTCAGCCAAAGGCAGCCCCTTCCATCTTCTTGGGAGTTTGCAGCTGAATATAGAAGTATTTCTGTTTACTTTTTATTAAAAAAACCAAAATATTTATTTTATGTATACAGGTTTAAGTATATCCTGCATGTGTAAGTTGTGAACTCCTGGAGCCCATGAGCTAATATAAGAAGCAGAACAATACCCAGACCATTCACACTAGCTGTGGACTCCTCCCTGATCTTTGTCCTTCTGCTGGGAGGTAACCTCCGTCCTGAATTTCTGCCGTTCTCTATTTCCCCCCGCAGTTTCCTGTACCTTTACCACCTATATACACTAGAGGTTTAACATTTTACTTAGTTTTGCTTATTTTTGAGCTCCATTAAATCATATATCCATGGGTAAATCATATTGTATCTCTTCTGTCTGCTTCTTTAACTTAGTATTGTTTTCTAAGATTTATGCATGTTGTCGCAGGTAGCAAGAGTATAATTCACTGCTATATCAGATTCCATTTTGAAAACATGCTACAATTCATTTATTCCTTCTCTTGTGAATGAACATTGGGGTTGCTTCCCGTTTGCTGCTAATGGAAATAAGTTCTGTGAACCTTGCACATGTCTCCTGGATCACATGTACAGATATTTCTGTCGGGCAGGGATTGAACATTGGGGTTGCTTCCCGTTTGCTGCTAATGGAAATAAGTTCTGTGAACCTTGCACATGTCTCCTGGATCACATGTACAGATATTTCTGTCGGGCAAACTACTTACTGCCCATGGTCAGACCTGGCTCACTGCCTGTTTTTGTAAATAAAGTTTTATTGTAACATAGCTGTGCTCATTTATTTACATTTTGTCTGTGACTATAAGGCAGAGTTGAGTTAGTTGTGATAGAGACCTCATGGTCTACAAAGCCTAAAATGTTCCCATCTGGCCCCTATCTAGGGTATCTACTGTGGAGTGATTTGCTGGGTATAGGGTATGTACATGTGTAACTTTGCAGAATAAGGGCAAATTGTATTTCAGAATGGTTGTGTCTATTTACGTTCCTACGAGCGGATGTGCACGAATTCCTCTTGCTCCATATTTACTTGTCTTGGTATTATCAGACTTATTAATTTCTGCCCATCTTTGTGACCTTAGTTTTAATTTTCCTGATTTCTAGTGAGCTTAAATATCTTTTTATAAGTCATTTGGCTATTTAAAAACATAATTTTATTAAGGTATAATTTAAATACTATAAAATTCAGCCATTGTAACTGTCTAATTCAATTAGTAAATTTATATTAACTCATCACCACAATCCAGTTTTGTTTATCCACTCACTAGTTGATGGACACTAGGATTGTTTCCAGTTGTGGTCTATCAGGAATAATATTACTATGAACATTCACAGACATGTCTTTGTGTGAACATAGGTTTTTGTTTCTCTTGGGTGGATTCCTAGGAATAGAATGGCTAGATCACATGATAGGTGTGTGTTTAATATTTTGAAACTGTCAGACTGCTTTACAAGTGGCTGAACCATTTTACACTTTCACCAGCAATGCATGATGGTTTGATTCTCCACATTCTCACCAAGACTTAGCATAATATTTTTTATTTTAGCTATTCAAATGGGTGTGCAGTTGTATTTCATTGTGGTTTTAATTTGCATTTTCCTGGCCATGTGTATATTTTCTTTAGTGAAATGTCTATACAAATCTTTTGCCTATTTTTTGATTGGCTGTTAGTTTTGTTGTTGTTGAGTTATAAAAATTCTTTATATATTCTGGATATGTAAAGTCCTTTATCAGATATACGATTTGCAATTATTTTCTTCCAATCTGTGGCTTATTTCTTCATTTCCTTAGTGGTAGCTTTCAAACTTTAAAGTTTTGGAATCCTCCAGTCTATCAGGTCAGACTCTTAAATTAGTATGTTACATTGTCAAGTTGACAAGTTTACTTATAGTTATGTTACTTTATACTTTTGATATTTTGAGCCTATCTTATTATGTTAAATTAACACATGTGGAAATATCACATATTCCTGGAGAACTGAACCGTGTACTATAGTTCTTCTATGTAGCCCTTGTCACCATTGCAGTTTTGCTGATTGTGAAATTAGTTAATATATGTCTTCCTCATTGGAGAATAAATTCTAAGTGAGCAGGGATTACATCTTTTTCTTCTTAATACATCTACAGCATTAGGACAGGTAGAGGGTACTTAATAACTATTAGTTGATTGAAAGAATTTGTTTTCATTTATTTATTTTTTAGCACGTACTAGTATTTAGTGCTTGTTTACTATAATGCTTGTTTTCTGCTGCCTCTCTTATACTTATTTTCCCCTTTGATCTTTGAATAACCTAAACTTTAGGAACTTCTAATGTTATTGCTATTGCAGGGTATAGTATTTATTTTACAGTGTTTGTATGCCATTTGCTTTTTCAAATCATCAAAATAGCACATTTAAAGAATATGATTTTTCTACTCAATTTATTTTTTTAATGAATCCAGTAATTCTTTTACTTTAGGAGTATTTTTATTATATGTTTTTAAAGTTGTATATCTCTAATGTCTATGTATCTATTTATCTCTATATTATTTTTGTTATATTGCTGTTTAACAAATCATTTCAAAGCTTAGTGCCTAAAAACAACAATAAATATTTCTCTCAGTGTCTGTGAGTCAGGAATGCTGGAGCAGCTTTGGTAGGTGTTTCCTGTTACAGTCTCCTGAGGTTACAGTGAAGATATTGGCTGAAGCCGCCCGTCCTCTGGAAACGTGACTGGCGCTGGGGAAGATGCTTCGGAGATGGCCTCCTTACTGGCTGGGAGTCGGTGCTGATTGTCGGCAGGGGCCTCGTCATTGGCCACATGAACCTCTCCACGGGGCTGCTTGAGTGTCTTCCTGACGTGGCATCTGACTTTCCCTAGAGTAGGTGGTCTGTGCGCACAAACCAGAAACGGCACTGGCCTTTACGGCTTAGCCTTGAAGTTGTAGACCATCACTTCTGCTGTGTTCTGTTGCTCACACAGGCACACCTCATACAGTGTGGGAGGGCGTGACTACCAAAGTGAGGGTCACAGGGTCCTTCTTAGAGGCTGGCTATCACTGTACCTCTGTGCATGTGTTTGTGTGTTTCTATATGTACTAGAGGCCCGATGCACAAAGTTCGTGCAAGGGCAGGCCTTCCTTCCCCTGCCTGTCGGCACTGGCTTCCCTCCGGCACCCGGTACCCTGGCTTCCCTCCAGCCGGCAGGCACCCGGGACCGGGACCCGGGCTTCCCTCACAGAGGGAGGCCCTGCCCACCTGCCACCGCCCACAGGTTAGTCGCAGCTTGCCTCGGCCCTTCCAGCCGTGGCGGCTTGCCTCGGCCCTTGCAGCCCCAGCTTTGTCCATAAGGAGGTCTGGTCTAATTAGCATATTACACTTATATTATTATAGATGTATGCATGCATGTGTATATGTGTGTGTATATTTAATTTATTGCCTCTCTCTTCCTTGAGATTTTGTGGTAAGCAGAATTTCGAAAATGTCCTTCTACAGATGTTCTGCTGTAATTCCTGTAACCTGTGAATGTGATGCGATATTGCTCCCACAGTTATGGTCTGTTATATGCACAGTTGACTTTAAGATAGGGAGATTATCCCAGTCTAAGCCCATGAGCCCTTAAGAGCAGTGAGCGTTCTCTGGCTAAAGAAGAGGGGAAAGCCAGAAGGATTCAAAACATGAGGATCCAAAACATGAAGGTGGAAGGGGCCATGTGAGAAGGGGCCTCTAGGCGCAATGAGCAGCCTTCAAATGACAGCCGAAACGGAAACAGGATGCTCAGACCCACAATTGTAGAGAAGTGGCTTTCCCCCCCCCCCCCCCAGCCTCCACATAGAATCCTAGCTCAGCTGACATTTTGATTTTGGCCTTGGGAGACTGAGCTGAGAAGCCAGGCCAGCCCATCAGGACTGCTAACCTACAGAGCTGTGAGATAATAAATGGGTGTTGTTTTAAGCTGTTAAGGTTGTGGTAATTTGTTACAGAGCAATGGAGAAGGAATACAGATATCAATGGAGATGTCTAATGAATTGCATTGCACACCCTTTGTTTCTGATTACGAGGTCAAACCTAGAGTCCCAAACATCAGGCAGAAGGTAGATCCGGTGGAGGTGAGGGATAAGGCAACTGGTTGAGTCAACTTAGGCTGGGCCTGGAGATGACTGAGGGAGGAAGAAAAATCTGGAAATATTCTGCTGTCATTTGTATGGCTGCTCCTTCCTGACTCTAACGTCAAAATTCCCTTATTTATTTATCATTGGTTTTGATTTATGAGAACTTCACCGAATCTGTGTATATTCAGTTACAGACCAAGATTAAAAGTGGAGCTAGAGAAGCGCTGCTCCTGCCAAAAGCAGCAGCAGTAGAGGAATATATAAGCAGAGAATTCTTCATCTGTTATAACTGAATATTGGTAGCAAGATATGTTTCACGTTTAAACTTTAAAAGTTTACATTATGTGGAGATCACACCATGTGGTGGTGGCTTTGCCATGTGAGAATAATAGAGATCAGACCAGTGTTTCTCAATCCTTTTTTCATTATTGCCCCCTAAGGAGTTTATAGACTTTTTCCTCTTAATCACCCTGCCATGCCATGAGATTTGAATACTACACATATACTGTATATTAGTTTATGTACTGTATGTATATCAAAACCAAGTTTCATCCTTGGGTTGGTATTACCCCTCCTGAGAATGCCTAACAAAGATGCTAATGTGATTAGGTAAATTTAAGATTGTGTTTAAAGGATCATCAAAAAAGGTATTTTCGTATTGTAATCCAGAGATTACAGGACTAGAGAACTGGCCCAAACTCAGGTTAGCAAAAAGATGTAACATCTACGTATCTTAGTTCAAGAGTCCCTCTGGGAAAGTAAACCCAGGAAGCACTGCCAAATCTTTATAGCATTTGAATCATGATTGATCCTTGCTCTAAGTAATAAGAATCACTGTAGCACATTTCTACATTATTCGCTTTGTTCATGATTGCAGGAGACCTGGAGTCCTTGAGTGAGGCAGTTTTGCTTTGGAAATGACTATCCTGTCCCAAAAAGGTAGAGGCAAGGTGCCGGAGTCCTATTTTGGCATCCTCATCTTTCCCCCGAACGGTTAAATATGACAGTTCTTTTTCTTTCTCTTCGACAGAGTGAGCTGTAGCCTATAGGATCACAGGGGTTGTCAACTCAAATGCCTACAAGGGCCAGACACGTAATAGAAAAGTGTAAACAGTGAAGTGTAAGACATAATTGTTTTGTTGGTCAATTTTGGTTGCTTTTACTCTTACAGCAACAGCAAAGTTTGCTTTTCTTGCTCATGGGTCTGCAGGCGGTCAGGGTGGCCTCCCTCAGCTGCGGAAGGGTCAGGTCAACTCCGTGTACAACAGTAGCAGCAGCAGGAACACTAGGGAGAGATTTCTAATTGGCGTTCCTTGACTGTAGTGTTTTGAATGGCAGGATAATCATGTGTCTGCAGGAATTTAGCATATGTGGTTGATTGGATTATAGTTCCCAATTTTTCACTTACTCACTGATTTGACATCTTTCTCTGTAAAGGTTTTGTAGAGTCTTTCATATGGCACAGGTTAGTTGAGAGTCTTTCATATGGCACATGTACATTTATTAGCCAAAATTCAACCAATGAATGATTATAACTGTTGATACTGTTCGATTTTTTTTTTAGATGTGAAACTTGGGGCCCTTGTCATTTCCATGTCCTCTTGCCTTTTTTTCGGATTTGTTCCCCTGACTTCTCTTTTTCCCTCCCTTCCCATTTACTTCAAAAACAGCAGTTGTCAATATGAAATAAGAGGAACTGGTGGAGAGAACCCAAGATATAAAACCTTCCACATGTTGGTGTAAAGTAATTTAAGATCGATGTTTCTTTTACAAGACAAAATGCTACCTGGCCTTTCTGAGCTTTTTGTTGGTTTTAGGATTTAGAGCGTTCATTATTTTTAAAATGAATTCTGTATGTCTGAAGACCTAATCATATTTCTACAAAATTGTAGAGCAAATGGAGACAAATAGTTAGACGCTGGGGATTTGGGGGTGGTCATTAAAAAAAAAAGTTTCCATTTGCTTTTTTCTCAGATCAGAAGCAGGCAGTCCTTAAATTGTCTTCTGTAAAGTATTGGGCTTTCAGCTGCCCCCGTCTTGAATGTGGGAAGAACGAACATGGTTAAGAGTTTAGGTCCTAACAGGTCTGGGTTTCACGTTCATCTCAACCATTTAATCTCAGTTAAGATGAAAATGACTAGGCTTCATTTTTACTGTAGTACAGTGAGACTTCTTTACTGGGGAATAATTCTCTTTCCTTTTAAATCAATGAATAAGTCAATTACTAAACCATTTGTTAATCCTTTGTATTTGGTTTTTGAGTGGTCTTCACAACTGGTTATTTCCTCTCAGTTCTTTTGCATTTCTCAGGCAGGTTGGAAACGCAGACTCTAACTATCTGAAGCTAATCGTACTTTCCTGGTGTCTTCTGTGTGTAAACGTTGTATTCATTCTGAGTTTCCAAGAAGCAAATAACTTAGACTATTCTGGTTTGGCATGTTCTCTCTCTCTAACCACATTGGAGCTGAACCTGGGAACAGAACACAACTTGAAATTTTGTGGTTTGGCTGCTAGAAGTTGGAGCTAAACTATCTGAAGCTAAAAATTAGTAATGTTGAAATGTTTTAACCTACTAAGTAAACCTGAAAAATAATGAAATTTAACTTTTATCTGGATGTCAGATGTGTGACAGTGCTTGGAAATGATATCAATGTTGTTAATTTTATATAAAGCTGACTGGTAACGCATGGAATTTCTATAGTACTCTGTAATGAGATGGGGAGTGACCATGAAGTTCATTTGAATTATGAGAGCTTCTTTGGTTATCTCCCAGCAAAGATTGTAAAAGAGCTGTTGAATTTAAAGATGGGCAAAAAAAAATTTTTTTTTTTTAATGAAAAGATGATATGTCAAACTTGCCCACTTTTTCTTATGACCAGTGGCTACGTTACATGCTTCATAGCAGATTAAAAACCAACCAGCCAACCGACGGAACACTCTTACTCCATCCCTTCAAAGTAAAAGTGATGTTTCAACAATAAGTGAGATAGTTATAGCCTTTTTAAAGGTAGAGATTGAAATGCAGAGAGACTGTTTTTTGTCATTGCTTGGAAATGTTTCTTTTGCAATATGATTTTTGTTGTCAGAGATATGCGTGTCTAATGAAAACTTTGCCATCTGCACACTGTAAAAAACTTATAACAATATTTTTATACTGTTGAAAATCTTCCAAATAGTTTCAGTTGATTTCTAAACCAATTGTTAAAAATGCAATATCTTTTGATTAGTTTGAAAGAACATTGATAAGAGTGAAGACAGACATTTATTAGCCAAAATTCAACAAGAACTAACTGATGGAATTTATTGAAAAATAAAAATACTGCCTTAGTAAGTACAACAATGACATACTACTTTAATTTCAGTCCTTGCATATTTATAATCAAGCCCTTCCCTCCTGTACAGCCATTACAATTAAGTACTGACATAAGCGGAACTTAGGTCCTGACATTTCAATCACTGAATTACAAAATATTTAAGTCAATATTTAAAAAAGTAGAGGCCTGATGCACGAAATTCGTGCGAGAGTAGGTCTTCCTTCCCTTAGCAGCCGGCACTGGCTTCCATCTGGCACCCGGGACCCGGGCTTCCCTCCGGCCGCTGGCAGGCACCGGGACCAGGGCTTCCCTGGCAGTCCTGGCTTTGTCCGGAAGGTCGTCTGGAAGGACGCCTGGTCTAGTTGGCATATTACGCTTTTATTATTATAGATAATATAATTTCATTATTATCATCCCTCCACGGAAAGTATTAACTTTTTTATGAGAGTGAAAAGACCTAAGCAACTGTTGGCAGCAAGACAGCACCAGGTGTTAGACCGATGGAGTCAGACCAGATCTTGGTACTTGAGTTCTGGCTAAGAAAGAATTCAGAGTCAAGACTCAAACTACAGGAGAACCAATCCAGATGCATTGGGGAGAAGTTAATTCATTATATACAGTGGACATCTCTGGCAACCCAGATTAGTTGTACTATGTTTGTGGCAAGTTCTTAAAGGAGTTTGCTTGTGATTACAGATTATTTTTTTTTAGGTTACAGGTCCACCAGGTTGTGGGAAAACTCAATTTTGTATAATGATGAGTGTTTTGGCCACATTACCCACCAACATGGGAGGATTAGAAGGAGCAGTTGTGTACATTGACACAGAATCAGCATTTAGTGCTGAAAGGTAGGAGATTTTATTATTTTCCATTATAATACTTAAGTTTTGTAACATATATTAGCATATAACATTTGTAAGCAGGTTGACATTTACTTCTTTTTTTTTGAGAACACAGAATTTAGACACTGTTTTAAAGGAGTTGTCCTTTTACCATTGATGGAGCAGTTTCCTTTTACCTTTTCTATCCCTTTATTGGTTTAAGTGGGGTTCTGGGATACGGTGTGTTTTGCAGAAAGCCAGGAAGAAAGAAGTTCAGAAAGAGGGAGAAATGTAAGTCGGAAATGGGGACGAGGGAAAATTAATAAGAAAGACAGAGGTAAGCTGCTTTGTAACTAATTTCTATTTGGAAGTAAAATATTAGTGAATAGAAAAATTGCAGCCGAAACCGGTTTGGCTCAGTGGATAGAGTGTCGGCCTGCAGACTGAAAGGTCCCAGGTTCGATTCCAGTCAAGGGCATGTACCTGGGTTGTGGGCACATCCCCAGTAGGGAATGTGCAGGAGACAGCTGATTCATGTTTCTCTCTCATCGATGTTTCTAACTATCTCTCTCCCTTCCTCTCTGTAGGAGGTCAGTAGGAGAGATAAATTCCCTTTTAGATGGTTTCATGAATCTGGCTAGGTTCTCCTTAGTCCAACTTCAGCTGCCTTATCATTTGTGAATCTAGGTGAATTAGTAGGAAGGGAGATCATGAAAAGTTTCTAGGCTAGAGACCGAAATTAGTTTTACGTAGTTATTATTACTAAATCAGAACTTTGGAATTTGCTGGAATCTGTAAGGTACTAATAGATTCACATGATTATGTTTAGTAATCTCACAATGCTGAACAAGTACATATTAAATAATGAACGGGAAAATATTACATATGTACAAGAAGCTTTGAAAAACCATGAACTTGTATTTGAGCACAATAAAAGGACTTTTTTTTTTTCTTCTTCAAGAATATGTTTTATTTCAAGTTGGCATGTGGTCACTAATATAAAACTTAAAAAAATTATTTTTATTATTTTCTTAAATCCTCACCCAAGGATATTTTCCCATTGATTTTTAGAAAATGTGGAAGAGAGAGAGAAAGACAGAGAGAAATATCAATGTGAGAGAAACACATCTATTGGTTTGTACCCCGACCAGGGCCTAGGCTAGGGAGGAGCCTGTAACAGGTATGTGCCCTTGACCGGAATCGAGCGTGGGACCCTTTAGTCCACAGGCCAATGCTCTATCCACTGAGCCAAACTGGCTAGGGCTAAAGCTTTTAATTTTCCATTTATACAAGAGCTGTGAAGTAACAAGGAAATAATGATAAAAACCTTGATTCGAATCCATTGTTCTCCACTTCAGTGAGTGGTTAATTCCGTTCTTCCAGATGCTGACCAGTTAGTCCAGAAATCCACTCAGCTTCTCTTTTGAACTGTATCTTGGGTTCAGTCACTTCTAATCACGTGAGCTATTCTCTAGTTCAAGACCCCATCTGGACTACTGCACTGGCCGATCTTACTTGCACCCTTGCCCATCTACAGCCTCTTCTTCGTTTGGTATTTAGAATGCTTCTTTATAAAGAAAAGTCCGGCTATGTCTGTCCTGCTCCTAGGCTTTTACTAAATAAAATCCAAATAAAACCCACAGACCTGGCTAGCCCTCTGACCTTATTTCTTTTTATTCTCCCTCTTGCTTTCTGTGTTTCAGCCACATTAGCCTCCTTGTTATTTTCAAATGCCCCAGGCATCTTCTTACACTGGGCTTTTGCACTTATCATTCTCTCTTCCTATGCACTGTTCCACTGCACAGCCACATGGTTCATTTTTTTTTTGTTTCCCTTAAACCTTTGCTCAAATGTCACCTTATTAAAGAGGTTTTCCAAGACCACTTTACATAAAATGTCACCTGCTTCCATCTGTCACAGCCTGTTCTCTTAAAACTGGTTCACTTTGCTTTAGAGCGTTTATTATCTCATGTATTTTATACTATATTTCTTTGTTCCTCTCAGTAGAATGTAAGTTCCACAAGGGAAGGATTTTTTTGTTTTGTTTTTGTTCATTGCCATAGCCTTAGCACTAGAACAGTGCCTGGCATAATATAGTAAGTCCTCAATAAAAGTTTGTTGAATGAATGAATCTAAGTGCATTCTTTGAAAGATGTCCACTAGATGGCATTGTTTTCAAACTTTATGTAATTAATGTCTGGAGCAAAAGATGGGTTCTTTTCTGTTGCTTGCTCCAAACAAAACAGATCTTCGTTATGAAGATTGTCATGACAAATTGCTATGATTAATGTGAGGCATATATATTTATGCATTTATATTTTTGATTTATATATTTTTAAAAATATTTTCTAAAATTAAAAAAATCACTTAGAGAAACTTAAAGAAAATCACAGCATGCTGGTATGTAAATAACCATTTGATATAATTGTTTAGTCTGGTAACTATGGTTATTATTTTTATCTCTGCACAGTTCTTAAGTTTTTCAGGTTTATTGACCCTAAGTTAGTCTCTAAGCTCTTTAAGCTTGTTGACCTTAAAGGCACCACCGCCATCCCATTTACACCTTCTGGCTAAAACCCTGTATGATTTTATTTCCCTCCTGCCATCTCCAGTGGTTATTAAAGTCAGTAAGGCTCTTTTAGTTTATTTCCTACTAAACCAGATAAATTGTGCATTTTCAGGATGGAAAGAAAGAAAATACTCCTATTGCCTAGTAATGGAGTACCTGATATATTTAATGTCCAGAAATAAATTTTATCATTAGCAAGAACTGTGGCTTCTAAATTTCATGGTGTTAATGATATTGCCCCTAACTCCACTCTCCACCAAAGTATCAGGGAAAGAAGAGAGCATAACTGTGAATAAAGTTAGCTCATGTCCATGCCATGGCACTTTCCTTCTGAGGGACGTTAATGGAATGAACGAGCAGTAAGGAGTTCCAGAGCCACTAGTTGAAATCCAGTCTAATGTTGGAGGCAGAGAATTACTGTCTGTCAGCTGATCACTTGTTGCCAATGAGTTAGGTACTCTCAGTCTGGTTTCTAATCAACTGGGCATTCAAATTTTGAAAAACTTCTATGTTTCAAATGGATGTTGTCATTTCTATCCTGTTAAAATTCAGTGGGTTCCAAGTACCAGAGCTTTTTAGCTGATTTCTCTGACTAGCACTAAATTCAATAAATAATTGTCCTAATAAAAATATTTACACATTTCCCAAACCCTCAAAACATTTTCTAATGTCATCTTATTTCTTCTTATTTTATCATTTACCTTATTTTAAAAAAAAATTTCAAATTCCTATGCCTTTCTTAGGAACTTCTCTTGAATGGTCATTTGATCCATTTTGTTCTCACTCTTTACACATCTTTTAGTACTATTCCTTACTCCTAAAATAATTTTTCCTCTTCCTGTTCAACCTAATGTTTTTTTTTCAAATTGTTCTAAGTATGCTTTAAAAATGTTATTGACTAGATTTCTTTAATGTTTCTTCCTGTTTTAGATTTTTCTCTTTCATTTCTGATTATAGCATATGTGAGGAACTTATTTTGTTTATCTATTTAAAGTTCTCAGCTTCTTCTTGGAACTCATTAACTGTCTAATAATGAAAAAATACTGTTCTTTTGTACTTTGTGTCTTTAAATGGAACATAAAATATAGGACTGTTTTTGTGTTTCTAGGCCTTCTTTCCAGTCACCCTTGGATGATAGTTAAGTATGGGGCTAATAAAGTATCATTTAAAATAGGAGACAGTTATACTCTAAGGTTTATATTTTTAATCAGAAATTTCTAGTTGCATCTGTTTCAATTGTCACTCTCCTATGCTTGGCCTACCCCATGGGGCATTAGAACTAGCTTTGAGGTCAGAATTCAGTGTTTAGAAATTCATTTTTTTATTTACAACATTTATTTGTGAAGAAAGTAATTTTTTGTTTAACAAGGACTTACTGGATAGCAATTTTTGTTTGTTTGTTTTTGTAATCCTCACCTGAGGATATATTTTCCCCCTGATGCATTGATTTTTAGAGAGAGCGAAAGGGAGAGGGAGAGACAGAGAGAAATACTGATGTGAGAGAGACACATCAATTGGTTGCCTCCAGCATGAGCCCCACTTGGGCCCAGGGATCAAACCCGCATTGGAGGTACATGCCCTTGACCGAAAATTGAATCTGCGACCCTCTGGTCCACAGGCCTATGCTCCAACCACTGAGCAAAACTGGCCAGGGCACATATATTTTGTTTGTATTAAGCTTTAATGGACAAAAATGTCTTTTAGGTCTGAGACATGGAGACCTATTGATATTTGATTATTTGAATGATAATATATTTGTTCAAATATATTTCATTCATGAAAATGCACTTTTCTTATTTATTAAATATATATTATAGCTACTAGTCAAAATATCATTTATAAAAAAACATATTTATCCCAGAAAGATAAACCTGAGAGGCATTAAATGCAAATTAAAAGCCCTTGCTGGTCTCATGCTCTATCTGCTAACCTCTCTTAGTGCTTATAAAGCAGGGCTTATTTCCAGACTTGTATATTAGGCCGTTTTATTTATACCCGCTCTATTGATGAGGCTTTCATTATAGTGTTCCTTGTGGCTTATGAGTTTCCTAAGTAAAATTCATTGAGGTTCAGCAATGTGGCCTTAAATATCATTGACTATTTTCATTATTCTGTTTTTTTCCCCATAGACTGATTGAGATAGCAGAATCTCGTTTTCCAAGATATTTTGATACTGAAGAAAAATTACTTTTGACAAGCAGTAAAGTTCATCTTTATCGGGAACTCAGCTGTGATGAGGTTCAACAAAGGTATGCTGGTTTAGATTTCAGTATTTTAGTAACACTTTGAAGATTTTTTTGCTGTTTTTAGTTTCTCAGTGAAAAAGATCCCTACATATTAGGTTTATGAGCAATAAAATGATTCCCATATTCTTTATTCACTATGGCCTATTAATTGAAGTATTTCTTTAAAAATGAAAAAAAACCCAATAAAATGTTTTATATTTAATTAATTAAATGGTGTATTAATTATGTATTATTTTATTAACAAATTACCCCAAAGTTTAGCAGCTTAAGGCCCACTTGGGATTGGAGAACCTTGAAGAATTCCAAGGTCATTCATGTAGATGCTGGAAGGCCTCCCTTCCTTCCTTGATGTTAGCTAGAGGTCTCTGTTCCTCACCCCATGGGCCTCTCCATAGGGCTGTTCACAACACAGCAACTCGCCTCCCCCAGAGTGAGTGATCTGAGAGAGCGGATAGGTGAGAGAGAGCCCAAGGTGAAAGCTCTAGTCTTTTATAACTGCTCTCAGAAATGCCAGGCCATCATTTTATCATATGCTATTGGTCACACGGACCAACCCTAGTACAAGGTGGAGAGACTCTGTAGGGTATGAATTCTGGGCTATTTTGGAGACTGGCTACCACAAGTAGCTTCACCCTAAAATTGGAGCTTTCGCACTATCAAAGGCTAAGGAATGAAACCATTTTGGTTTATTTCCAAAAGCATGCCATATGTATAGAAGAGATGTATATGAAAATAAGTTATGTTTATTGAATACTTGCAATCATCACTATAACTTAGGAAAGAACAATTTGTTTTTAAGTTGGCTAACTTTGCAATGCCCTATTTTTAAAAATTATGTCTTAAACTTTTCTACTATTTTACAAATTCTACTTTTACAGGATTGAATCCTTAGAAGAAGAAATTATTTCAAAAGGAGTTAAACTTGTGATTATTGACTCCGTTGCTTCTGTGGTAAGAAAGGAGTTTGATACACAACTTCAGGACAACATGAGAGAAAGGAACAAGTTCTTGGCAAGAGAAGCAGCCTCCTTGAAATATCTGGCTGAGGAATTTTCAATCCCAGTAAGTTTTTCTTTCTCTCTCTTTTTTTCTTCACCATTCTTTTATTATTATTATTATTATTATTAAAGTTCACTGACATAATATCAAGGAATATAATTAGAAGGAAATGTAAAACAAAGGACTTATTCTAAAGGCACATAGTATAATAGCTAGAGCAAATGTCACCATCTTATTAAATTTATTCTGCTATTGAGGTTATTTCATTCTTTTTACAGCTTGAGCCTGGAACGGGTTTATTTATTTATTGACATACAATATTATACTAGTTTCAAGTGTACAACATAGTGATTAGACACTTAACAAAAGTTACAAAGTGATCAGCCCATTACTGTTGGCATGACTTTCAGTGGTGGGAGTTGTGATGAGGAAATCTGAAGATGAGGATATGCTGCAAGGGTTTGCGGTAGTTGAGCTACAAGATGCAAGTGTTCGCTGAGTTACATTCCCGTTACCCGTGTGTGGGAGAGTCCTGCTTCTTCAGCCTTGCCAACATTTAGTATTGTCAGGCTTTTCAGTCTTAGCCATGCAATATCTCAACAGAAGATAAGAAATTCCCTAAACTGAGATAACTGTTAGTTATGATTTTATCAGTTTTAGATTTGTGTTTAGAAAATTAAAATCTTGGGTCTTTTTAACATAAAGAATTTATACCAAGAGTGTTTATGACTTGTGAGATCAAGGGAAGAGAATGTATGTACTAAATTTTGACATTTGTTCTTATCACAAACAAAAATTCAGGGCTTGCATTTCTATGAAAGTCTAATGAACTTTCTCTGATTGTACAGTAGTAATCCTAGACTCTAGATATATGTAAATAACTCATCAAAACTCTAGAGTTATTTTTTGCTATTGTGTAATGCTATTGTGTGTTTTCCAGGAAATCGTGTAATTTTTGGTTTCTGTCATAATTTTCTTTTTTATATATATATATATTTTGTTGATTTTTTACAGAGAGGAAGGGAGAGAGATAGAGAGTTAGAAACATCGATGAGAGAGAAACATCGACCAGCTGCCTCCTGCACATCTCCCACTGGGGATGTGCCCGCAACCCAGGTACATGCCCTTGACCGGAATCGAACCTGGGACCTTTCAGTCTGCAGGCCGATGCTCTATCCACTGAGCCAAACCGGTTTTGGCAATAATTTTCATATTAATTACTGACAGCAAATACTATAGGAGGTAAGAAAAGTCCTTCAAGTTTTTTTCTTCAGTGCATTTTACTTATTCACTCACATGTAAACTCAGATTATTTTTAAAGCTATCCTTTATTCATTCAAGTGGCTGAAACTCACACAGTAGACTAAACCTTTAATTCATCTTTCAGTGATAATACTTCTAGAAAAATTATATCTTTATTTTTTGTAGCTCTTTATAATTTATAAAACTTTGCTTTTTTGTTGACTAGAGCAAAAAGGTAGAAATAATTTAAAAATTAATGAGTAGGTGATTGGCTAAGTGGTACATCCGTATAACAGAATATTGTACCGATATTAAAATGAAGGAGGTAGCCCAGAAATGCATTCACAGTTTTTATAGAAAGGACTAGCTCAGCTGGCTTGGGGTGCTAAAACCAGCATATTCCAAAGAAAGGCCTGTCTTCAGGACTGGTCCTCTACTGGCTCCTGGGAGATGATCTCAGCCACTGGGATGTTCTGCCCACTAAGTGTGTTTTTGTGTGCCTGAGGCCCTGGACCACATAGAACCAGCTGTATCAGATAGTTTATGCAAAACATGTGATTTATGGCGAGCACCTATGTTACTCTGGGGACTGGAATCTGAATAGCCGAGGTCAGTCATGCAGGCTCTGTGTGCCTTCGAATGCCCCCCATTAAAAACCATGGACACCAGGGCTCAGGCAAGCTTCCCTGGTTGACATCACTTCACTTTGTTGTCACATCATTGCTGGGAGAATTAAGTACGTCCATGCAACTCCACTGGGGGATGACACCTGGAAGGTTGTGCCTGGTTTTACCTGGACTTTGCTTATTCTTTTCTCCGCTATGCCAGTTTGTATCCTTCTGCTATAAGAAGCCACACACGTGAGTGTACAGCTTTTCTGAGTCCTGTAGGTCCTTCCACAGTGAATCATTGAGCCAGAGAATTGTCTTGGGGACCCCTGCCACACAGAAGCATCAATAGACATGTGCAAGAATATTTATGGCAGCTCTATTTGTAGTTGCTTAAAACAGGCAAAATTTTGTTACTAGTTTTACCTCAGTCTTAATGTATTGGTTTTGATAGTTGTACTATGGCTATGTACGATAACATTAAGAGAAGCTGGGTAAAGGGCATATAGGAACTCTCTGTGCTCTTTTTGCAACTGTTTGTTGAGTCTCAAATTATTTTAAAATAAAAATTGAAAAAATGGGAGAGTGACTTTGGGTGCTTTTATATGCATAAGTTGGTTCTGGAAGCTCATAAAGAAACTCCATTGGTTGCATCTGGGGAAGGAAAATAGAGGCTAGAAGGAGAGTTACATTTGATGCATTGGATCGCATCCACTTAGTCATCAGGTTTATAGATGTTATAATACCTCTTTAATTTAAGCACTGCTCTTCATCTTTCAGCAAATCTAGCTCCATTTCTGTATATAGTCTATCCTGGATTACTTCCTGCTCCTTCAGTGCTGTTACCCTGGTTCCTGGTGATACTGACTTTGGAATTGAATGTTGGTTTGAACCACAGCCTCTCTGTTTGCTAATTTTATTACTCTGAGTAAGTTATTTATCCTTGCTCCAACTCCTAGTTTCCTATTAGAAAAATGGGGATCATAATGTCTGACTCATGGGGTGTGAGGATTAAATGAGATAATGTCTGTAATGTTCTTTGCACAATGTTTGACACATTCAGTAAAAGGTAGCCATTAATGATTAATTTTAGTAGTTACCTCATTCCAGATGGTGTATTTTATCTCTCTTCTCCTAATATATTTTTTCACAAGGCCTCAAGCTCCTCAAAAAGGAAAATCCTGTCTCACTCACTATTATGTCCCTGTTAGCTGTTTTGTTGATGGGTATTGTTACTGTCTGGACCCTCCTCTACCTGGTTAACTCATTCTTTTGGATCTCAGACTCTCTCTTTTCCTTTTTAACACCACTCTCAGCAATTGTGTACAGAACTCTGTACTAGGCACTGTGAGATCATAAAGATGAATAAAACATAGTCTTTGCCCTTAAGGCTCTATAAATAATAAGTTTAGGAGACAAATAGCTTTCTGTGGCATAATGGAGAATGAAATAACTATCTTGTCTACTGTTCTTTTTCTGTTTCCACCAGTTATAAGTAGCTTGGTATCCACTTCTCTGTCCTTTCTTGGGACTGTAGATTACACACAGAGAAATAAAGGCAGGTAGCATAGATCTTCGTAGCTCTAGTTAAACTCTTTATTATGTCTAACCTTGCTGTGTATTCTTATTCAGAGAGTGCTTGTTTAGAGAGACAGTGGTTAAACTGATCAAGCACAAGCATAATTCCAATGTTGTTGCTAAAAAAAAAAGAAAGTTGCTGCTCTTAGTCTTTAGATTTACTTTGCATACAGTACACAGTGCCTAGCTGTGTCTGTAAAATTTTCCAGTTGAAGGTTGTTGCTGATGGCAAATTTCAATTCTCAAGTGAGAAGAGGGATGCAGAGAAATGCAGTGATTTATCTAAGATTGTTCCAGAAGCAATTGCATAATCAAGTATTATCAGTTGCTACTTCTCTCCTGGATTATTATTACAATGTCTTAATTGGCCTGGTTATCTTTTCCCCCCCCCCCATAGAGATATGGTTTTTATTCTGGAACAACAAAGAATTGTGCTTCGAGATATGCTGTTTAATCGCAACCAGCAAACATTCTTTTTAAAAAAAATTTTTTATTCTAAGTTACAAAACCAATCTGACCTCAATTTAGCTGCTCTCATTCACCACAAACTTTGCCTTTTCATGTACCACAATATCCTTGAAAGGTAAAGGGTCCAGGCTTTTCTTTCTGTTCACAAGTTTGGAGCTCTTTTAGCAAACATTCTTTTATAGAGAAGAGGGGAGTTCAGGGGGCTGCTATAAACAAGTAGTCCATTGGAGGAAACTGGGTGTTTGAAGTTTAGTGGCTTTTCATTGGCTGAGTGGTTGCTGGGTGAAGAGATTGTCCTTCTTCCTGTTGGGGTAGTAGAGCAGAAAGACATCTTCCTGCCGTAACTGGTTTGGCTCAGTGGCTAGCTAGAGCATCGGCCTGCGGACTGAAGGGTCCCAGGTTCGATTCCGGTCAAGGGCACGTACCTTGGCTGTGGGCACATCCCCAGTAGGAGGTGTGCAGAAGGCAGCTAATCGGTGTTTCTAACTCTCTATCTCTCTCCCTTCCTCTCTGTAAAAACTCAATAAACTATATTTTAAAAAAAAGACATCTTCCTGTTGAAATGGGAAGTGTGTCTCTTCCTGTTTGGGGTAGTTGATGACAAGTGGTAGAGTGTGCAGTGTAGAGCCCCACAGGCCCTCTGAACTCCAATTTAAATCAGGTTTCTTTTTATTAATCTTCACAATATTACTGCTACATAATTTTCCCAGAGCCTATCTCTCAACACATCCTCCTCTACTCAGAAGCATTGCATGGCACCATATTTCTTACAGAATATATCTACTAGACTTTAATCACTGTGTGCTGGGGTCCAACCCCAGCAGGTCCAGGGGTCCCCAAAGGTGTGGACGGAGTCGGCGAAGAAGGAATGACACGGAGACAGCGTTCAGTTGATCAGCAGCCTTGCCAGGATCTCTACCCACAATCTCCAGCCAAGTTCTGTGTCCATGTTCTCTTGCTAGGTTCTCCAGCCAGGTTCGGTTTAGGTTCTCCAG